TAATTAATTAATTAATTTTAAAAAACCAAGTACATTAAATATGTTCATGTGTAGTTATCGACACTATATTATAACAGTATAAGAACTTTTGCAAACCACAGTTAGGTGTATTCTAGTATAATTCGGGGTCAGATCGTGTCTAAAAAAGGGGGTCCATTGAGTTCTTGGAGACAGCTGACTCCCACAGGGGGTGTGGGGGGGGGGGGGTATTTTTGTTTGTTTGTTATTGGGTTTTTTAAAAAGTGTTTTACTGCGCATCCAACTGCATAAGGTCATATGAGCGAGCGGGACACATTAAACATTTTATTTTCAGTTGGTTGGAATTTTTTAAATTTTGCCCGGGTGGCGGTCGAAACCTACTCTGATCGATTTTAGACCACCAAGGGATCTTTAACGTGCGCAACTTGCACACTAGACCTCCGAGATTTTTCACCCTTCTCCGAGAAGGCTAAGTGAAGATCTTTCCTACAAGAAGATCAGGTGGTGTGGCTGAAAGACAGCAGTAAGAAGGAGCCAAGGAGAAGCAGTAGAAAGGCTGCAGAAAGAGTCAAGATGCCAGAGGACGGGACAAAGGAGGTGAGGGGTGGGGGCAGAAAGTGGAGACGAAAGCAGACGACTGAACAGTGCTAGAGAACAGGAAAGGAGGTGAACGGAGATAATATTTTAGAGAATAAAATTTTCCCTCGCTACCCGGATTCAAACCCGGGACCTTTGAATGAGAGGCGAACACCTTAATGTCAAGGCCACGAGAGCCCCCTGGGAGTATGTGGGGGATACAGTTTTGGAAATAGAGTCGTACGTAATCACCACGCTGTTATGTCCACTTGTACTACCCCCCACCCCCTCCTTCCGCCTGTGCCTCTTTCCTCACGGCTCTCCCTCTCTCGTGCACTCTGGATGATTGTTGGGTGGGCATTTCTTCATTTTGGCGGGAAATTTGTTATCTTCCACTAGTGAATGCTACATGTCGAAAGCCATCTTGAGATATCAATATAAAAGCCTGACTGTGACTAATTTTAAAAAATCAATTTTAACATTATAGATATGTTAAAACGCATGTATTTCCTATTTGATCTGATAAAACACATTTTTTCAGAGATAATCCGATGAAACGCATTTTTTTCATGCATGTGATCTGATAGAACACATAATTTTTCTTCCCGATATTGACCCAAAAAATGCGTTTCTTCAGATCACAGTTTAATACAGATCATGGTAGTACTGGGTGTTTGTGGGGGATAAAGTTTGGGAAATAGAGTTGTACGTAATCACCACGATTGTGCCCACTTGTACCAACCCACCCTCCCCCTCCCCCACCCCTGTGCATCTTTCCTAACGGCTCTCCCTCTCGTTCACTGTAGATTACTTTTGGGGCACGGCACCACTGTATCTAAAAAAAGGAATCATAAGAGATACTTGTGTTA